ATGGTCTAATATTTACATTTAGCATAACTGCAACATTCTTTTTTTTCTTTTTTCTTTTTTAAAGACTCGAAAGGACTTGAAATTCAAAGTTTCAGACTTGTGACTTTACTCGGACTTTTACACCAGTGACTTGAGACTTGACTGACTTGCCTGACATTACTTGAGACTTGACTTGTGACTTGAGGGTAAAGACTTGAGACTTACTTGAGATTTGCAAGACAATGACTTGGTCCCACCTCTGCCAGAAATCCACCAGGAAAGCTTAATTTACTCATAAAATCAGACTTCTGTTAGCAACCAGAGGAGCCACCCCCTGTTGGCTATTATAAAGAATGCAGCTTTAAAGCCTTAACTTTTCAGATCTGAAGCTTTTCCATAACCAGCAATACTAGTTTGCCTGTTTGAACAGTAGTCATGGCTACTATTCATTGTGGTCAGCTTAGGTGATGTGTTTGGAAACAATAGGTATTACCAGCTGGTCTATTCAGTTACTTTCTATTTAATTCATTTAATGTAATGTGTTGTAAAGACCCATATTTTAGCACATCCTAGCACACTCACTCACTTCACCAGATGCACCTTGTTTAGTTCTCTCACCTTTGATTGGGTGTATTTTATGTATTGTTTAAGGTAATGAGTAACTTAAATCTCTATTTTCTTTCAGCATTGGCAGTCAATGCGTGTCTTTCCTTCTTTCCTTTATTGATTTGAGAATAAAAGGAGAACCCTGTGAATGATTAGATGACTGCTTATTCTCATTCTAATCAGATGAGCCCATGATGCTGATTGCTTAAACCCTGAGCCTTCCTTCATAACATCATGCAAAACAAAAATAAATAAATAACTAGTGACGTGGCCCATGTCATCCTGTCAGAAGTCACACAGATCCACACAACATTCTGCTCAGTGACGTCGCAAACTGTGCGCCAGTGCTGCTGACTACAAATGTTGATGTAGAAACAAAACACGTTTGCAAGATTATTCAGCCCCACACCCCCAGTCAGCCAGATCATCACATCAAATAAATATTGTTTGAAGTGACAACGAAAAAAATCCAGAAAATAAAATTGATATGATTGTTTTCTGAGGTTCAGGCCAGTAATGATGAAAGTGTATTATCAAATCCCAAGAAGGACCCCAAGCTCACAAAAGAAACCACCTTTTCTGATCCTCCAGCTCCAGCTGTTCCTGCTGAACTTGTGATTATTATTTCAGCACAGGGTGGCAGTCACACCACAGAGTAACATCAGGCACGGTCCTTTCCACTCTGACAGAGACGTGCCCAGGCAACAGTGCAAACTTTGCACCAGTGCCGCTCATTAGAATTGTTGATGTGACAGTGAAACACGTTTGCCTCATGTTTCAGCCTGTAAGTAAATAACTTTGACACAGTACAGCTTCTGCATCACCCCCTGCTGAAAGCTCATGCTTCACTGAGGTTCAGACCAGAGAAAATGTGATTATAATACCTAATCTGGAGAAGGACCCCTGACCCACAAAGGAAGCACTCTCTGTTATGGTTTCAGCTCCTTGTCCTCCTGTTGAACTCACAGAGCAGCCAACAACCATCTTACGCTTACTTATCCCCAGCTTAGATGAGTTCACCAAGGCCACCACAGTACAAGGCATTGCTGTGGTTCGATCTTCACTCCTCTTGAACCAGTTATCATTAATACAGATGAGAGTAGAACGAAGAAGAAAGCAAAGGGAAACTCCTCAAAACTCTGTCTATAAGAAAAAAAAATTGATTCTTAAGATCAGTTAAATTTGTACCATAACAAAGATTTTAAAACAAAATAGTCAATTACAAATAAAGATTAGTAAGTAACTGTCACGGTCGGGATGGTCGGTGTGTTTGCGGAGTGGACCCAGAGCAGACAAGGGAGAGAGAAACCTAAGGTATAACAAAAAGGGAGCCATTTATTTGGCTGATAGGAAAAAAAAAACACAAAACAAAGGCAAGGTGAACTGGGGCAAAACTAAACTCGAAACTAAACTGGAAACAGCTGAGACTAACTATGAGAACTATGACATAAGAACATGAACATGAATCTGAGCAGGAACATGAAAAAAACAAGATTTGAGGCAGAGAAGACAAAGGCGTGAACATGAACATGGAGCAATGCAGACAATCTGACGCTAAACAGAGGGAGACAGAGGACTTAAATACACAGAAGGGTAATGAGGGAAGTGGAAACACCTCGGGAAACACAGCTGACACAAATGAACGTGACGCCACAGGGGAAGCAAAATTAAACACGGTGAACATAAATAAAATCTAAATAAAAACAGGAAACGTGGAGAGACAAGAGACAGAGAGAGGGAACGAGAGAGGCAGAGGGACAGAGGAGAGAGACACAAGGGGAACCTACATAGACGAGGAGATAATACGTGTTAAACAGAAAACAAGGAGACATGGACGATAACATAAACCAGACTAAACTTCAACTAAGATGAACTAATAATAACCCCAGGACTCAACATTAACTCATAAGTAATCAAAAAATACAAAATAACTCAAAATGCTGGGTCACAGACTCAGCCCCCTGACAGTGACAGTATAGAAATAGAAAGCTTTCTGAAAGATCACAAGTTGTGCAAGAAGATCAGCATTTTCTTTAGGACAACTCGCCATCAAATAGGATTTTAAATCCTCTCCAACTGGTCACGGCAGATGGCTGCCCCTCCCTGATCCTGGCTCTTCAGGAGGTTTCTTCCTGTTGTAACAGGGTGTTCCCCTTCCTGCTGTTGCCAAGTGCTTGCTCATAGGGGATCACCTGACTGCTGGGGTTTTCTCCCCCTCGTTCTAGTGTCCTTACCAAAAAATATAAAGTTGCTTGAGCTAACTGATACTGTGATTTGGCTTTATGTTATAAGATAACTGAAATGTAATGGAATTAAACATCCTAACAACTTCTGAAATCATTTCCAGAAAAAAAATGGATAATTTGGCAAAAGTTATAGTTTAAAAAAAAGTCCAAATATGAATTCTACAAACAAAAAAACAAAAAAACAAATCTTTCTACACGCATTTCAGCTATTGTGTGTTTTTGCAACCTGGACACATTTGTTGTGGAAAGGAGGTCACTAAAGAAACTGTTATCTATCACAGATAATCCTGATTACCTTCTGCACCACTTACTGGACAGTTAGTGCAGGACTTTCTCCAACAGACCGGCTCAGCTTCGCTGTCACACACACAGGTTGAGGAAATCTTTCACAGCTTGTGCATTAACTCTCTACATTGTGACACTTAACAGAGAAATCTGTTCTTTCACATTAACTTTATAAATATATATTGTATATTCAGGCTGGAGCCTATCCCACCTCTCATCATTCTATAACATGGCTAAGACATAAGGACACAACCTTACATACCTATGGCCAATTTATAATCACCAGTAGAGCTAAAATCCATGTTTTGGTGGGGGTTGGGGGTGTTCAGCATTGGCTGCTTTTTATAAGGATATAAGGATATCCTGTGTGCTCACAGTCAGCTTTCTTAGAGTTTGGGAAGTTCATTGATCCATTTCTTAACCTGTGAAAATGTCTCCCGCATTTGCCTCCAGCTTTGGCTCTCAGATCTAAGATAATTATTTTTATGCTTTTGTCATGTCTACATTTCTGTGTGAGTGTACTATGGATGCATGGTTGTAATTATGCATCGTGTGAGTGAGTGTAAGTGCATATTTAAAAAATGGAATATTAAAATGACGTCAGCTCCTCCTGTAGCTCCAAACAATGAAGTAACTCATTTGGATCAAATAAATAAAACAATTTAAAATAATCTTTATCCAATAAAAAATTTGTGTGGAGATTTTAAAGTATTCACCTGGAAAAACTAGAGATCCGCCACCCCCCTTGCCCCTCCACAAAAATATAGCACAAGAGAGAGGCAAAGCACAACAGCACATCCGTCGGCACTTTTCATTTAATTATAAAATGTGATCAGATCGCTAATATTTTTTTAAAAAAGGAAAGAAAAGACAGATTTGATATAAACATGTTCAAATGCCATGGTTACGTTTCTTCAAGGAGTTGAGAGTTATTACCAGCAGCAAACCAACTCTCGAGTAACCTGACATTTAACTGATGGGTGGCATCAGAAAGGAATTAATAATATAATGAATTTAAAGTGTTATACATTTAATGCATTTCCTGGGTGTCTTACAGCTTATCTGATATGTGAGATGGAAAAAGGAGATGCTTTAAATCCTGACACTCAAATTTGAGCCAGATTCAGAACAATTGTGGTTTAATGCTGCCTAAAATGTGCGTGCATCCCTGTCAAACGCTGCACTACAGTTTGCTGTATGTTGACAAAATATCTTTCTGTGCATGTTCTCGAGGGCCGTGGTAATCCATCGACAGCAAGTCACTGGACAAAAGTGATGGATGGACTTGTGGACAGTGGCAGAAATAGCATAATATATTATACCACTGAAAGAAACATTTTTTTATTCCCCCATTTATGATTCCCTTTTTAACATCAGTGACCCTGTGGTTAATGAGCTTGCTCTCCCCTGCCTGAGCTCCATGGCTTTAATCCAGGCCTCCTGAACACTACGAATCACTCAACCAGAGGGTGAAAAAAGAGCACCTACGCTGGGAGCTGGTGTGAGCTTCTGGGACATAAGACTAGATAAAGTTATTCAGGGTATACATTCTGCATGAAACCAGCTGTATGAGCTGAATTACGCCACTGAATAAATCCACTTACAAAAGCATAAACTTTGGGTGTGGAGGTTTTAAATGAATATTAAAGAGAGCAGAATGTGTGACAGAAAGATATGTTTGCTCCCACACTGCCAAAAGCCTACACGGACCAGAATGCAATGCAGGAAGGTGTACAGCAATCCATTTAATAAACTAGTGAACCCATCACCACACTCACAGATTGATACATCAAACTCAAACATGAGGGGTGTGCATGAAAGAACAAAAAATAAATTTATGCTTTACACCTTGTCATTAAAATGTGTAACCAGAAGTGACACAACAAATGATTCGCTTGTGTGTGAAAAGGTGGATTTTTTTCTTCAAAAGTAAAATCACTTTATATTTTGACGTCTCCTGCTATAATTGAATCAAATACATCTGGCGTGAGTGGAGTATAGTTCTTCTCTTTTTCATTCAGAAAGTAGAGTGAGTCTGTTATTTCATTTGGGTTGAAGCCCTGCTCCACTACTTTCGTCTTTATTAGCTTGAACGTGCCTGTAATGTCCAGTGACCTCTGTAATAAATCACAGTACAACCAATTATTAGTGGGCTAAATAAATCACTATGGCAACAAAGAGGCTTACCAACAAATGCATTTGTAAAAGTGTAAAATAACTGCAGTAAACATACTTGAATCCTCAGAAAGCGTGGCCTGGCGTAGGACGGCAGGAAGTCCTCGACATGTTTAAAAACAGCCGTGGAGTCAAACTTCAGTCCATCCATCAAAGTAACAGCAGCCATCCCGGCTCTTCCCTCCTGGCCTGGAGACAAAAGTTAAACAGTCACAAAACAGGAGTTAACTGAAGTTCAGTATTGCTAATCTCACAATAGTGTGTCAAAAAAATCTCAGGAAGCCGGACAAGTGGAGGACAAAAGAAAAGGACAGGGCTAAGAAACCTACAGCAGATGAACAACATCTGAAAGTTATGTCCTTAAGAAATAGGAAAGTTGATCCATCTACTGTTCATAGAAGCCTCATCAGAAATCTCAATAGAAGAGTGGCTGTCAAGAAGCCATTCAAAGGATGTGAAACAGGGAGAAAAGGCTAAGGTATGCCACATTATACAAGAACTAGACTAAAAATCGGTGGTGACAGGTGTTATGGAGGGATGAATCTACATATGAAATTTCTGGTTCATGCCATCATGAACATATACGGAGGAGGTGAGGAGAGAAGCACAACATTGAGTGTTTACAGACACAATGGAGGCTGGTTTGGGGCTGCATTTCAGCCATTGTTTGGAAATTGATGGAATTATGAATGCAGAATAGTATGGTCTGATTTTAATCCACCATGCAGTAGTATTTGGAAAGCATTTGATTGACAAGAGCTTCATTTTTCTGCCTCACAATGACCCCAAACACACTGCCAATGTAGTTAAAAACAAGTTGGATAGAAAAACATACAATGGATCACTATCAGTCATGAATTTGTATCCTCAGATCTTGGACTACAAAATTATTGAAGTAGTGCGGGATCATCTGGATGGAGCACAGAGCAACAAGCAGCAAACATTGCCTGCCCCCCCATATTTTGTACGGCTATATATATAAAGATTCAAAGTTTGGTGAGGTTTGTTAATGCCATCTTAGAGCTCCTTTTTGTTTTAAAAAGAATTCATTTTTATGCATAGCGAAGAAAAAATGCTGGATATCATTGTTAAACAATTTGATCATTGATTCAGTAGCATGTGTTTCTTGGTTTTGGCACAAGCGCAGCAACAAAGCAACATGTACCTGGCACTTTGACTCCGTAAACATTGGCTTCTTTAATGCAGTCAGCCAGCGCGAGGATGTCGGCCACCTCAGCTGTAGCTACGTTCTCTCCTTTCCATCTGTTGGTAATTTTTGTATTTTTTCAGTGCTCTGTGTGAGCTCACATTTTTAAGCATTATTTCAAAACATGCGCTCACCTGAATGTGTCGCCAACACGATCGTGGAAGTACATGAAATTATCCTCATCGATGCGCAGCAGGTCGCCGGTGTTGAAGTACAGATCACCTTTCTTGAAGACGTTACGCAGCTTCTTTTTCTCAGTTTGCTTCATGTCTCTCACATAACCAATGAATGGAGCTTTGGCTGTTATTTTAGTCACCAGAAGTCCAGGTTCACCTGATCAAAGTACAGGAGAAGTCATATTTGGGGTTGTTATATTTAAAGTCAATATTAATGAGATTTCAATAGATACTTATTTTTAAAGATGCACGGGTGAGAACTTTAGAAATATAAATAAAAGGACAGGAAACAAAGAATCCTTGGTTTTGTAAGCATCCTGCAAGTAACACACCTCTCTGAACCTCCATGCAAAAACCAGAAGAATCCCTCAAAGGTTCTTCTTTGTCTATGTCATATTTGATCACAGCATATGGAAAAAACATCTGTAAGTTTAAAAAAAAAAAAGCTAAAACACTGCTTCATGAGTGACAGGTTTTACTTCTTAATGTGAGCTGAAACATGGACTTTTACCTTGTGCAGGAAGGTGTGTCGCCCAAGAGCTCCCATCTTGCTGCTATAATTCAACAGAGCAAAGTTTCCCTCAGTTGCTCCGTAAAATTCTCTGATTTGAATTTCCCCAAATCGTCTCACAAAGTCCCTCCAAACATCTGCTCTGATCCCGTTGCCTACTGCAAGTCTGACTTTGTGGTTTTTATCACTGAGTTTCTGTTTGAAGAGAAAAGAAGAGCATGCGTTTGTTAGTTTTCTAAACCTTTCTGTGTGAGACAGTAGTATTAATGTTGGTGCTGTGTTGGCACAAACCTGTGGAGTGTTGCAGAGATAACGCATAATTTCACCTATGTACTGTATGACAGTGACATTATATTTTCTGCAGTCGTCCCAGAACTGGGAAGCAGAAAACTTACTCCTCAGAACAACAGGAATACCTGCACACAACAATAGATGACAACAGCACACTTTAAAGAGTAGCAGTGGAAGTAGTCAAAATTTTGGGTTTTTCAACAAATATGTAACATATAGTTACATATATGTAACTATGGTTTTTATATTACATTGGTTAAAAAAATAAATAAAATAAAGTCATACACCAATCATATATCTAAAAAACACAATAGTATATATCCAAAGAGTTCATACCCCTCTCAATGGCCCCAGTGAAGACAAGGAAGCCGGTGCTGTGATAAAGAGGGAGGGTATCATAAATCACATCTTTGGAGTTCACTCCTGATGAAGGCAGAAGTAAAGACATGGTCCACACTCTGCCTTGAGTGATCAAAGCTGCTTTAGGAAGACCTGTTAAAGACAAGCCAGAGGCTCAGGTGGCGAATCTTCTGTTTCTTTCACTGATGCATCGTGAATCTCAGTAAGTAGTTTACCTGTTGTCCCTGACGTGTATATGTAGGCTGCTGGACTCTGCATGGTTAAATGGGACCTTAACTCCTTGGGTATAGGCTCAGAGGAAGCCTGATTCATTTTATCAATGAAGCTTTCCACACCTGTAACTTCACATCTGTCAGCTAAGATGAAAACATTGATCTGCTGTTCGTGAAGATGGGGCAGCACCTCCTTCACTGCATCCAGCAAGTCTAGAAAATTGTTTCATACAATTGATGAACTCCAGGCCTGTCAGATTATTTATTTATGTATTTATCTGGTTATTGAATGTTGAGTAAATGAGCTCTCTACTGTCTCCATTTCTTGGAAAAGCAGACAGAAATGCAGGTACTACCTTCAGCTGCTACCAGAGTTGTGGCTCCGCTGCAGTTGAGGCAGTGTAGCAGAGACTTGGATCTGATGTTGGAGTTGAGCAAAGCTCCAGCACATCCAATCTTCACCAAACCCAACCAGAGCCACAGGAACATCGGCTGGTTCCCCAGGAACAGCGCCACCGTGTCTCCTTCTTTTACGCATCCAGCCTGCAGAAACGCTCTCGCAACTTTGTTGCTCAGGACGTCTGCGTCCCGGTACGTGAACGTTTCATCTTTAAAATAAACGAAAGGCTTGTGCGGCTGTGTCTTCACCAGCTCTAAAAAGCGGTCCAGGATTGAGTAATTAGTCTGCACGCACTTTTCGATGAACCGCCTTACTTTTATTTTAGTGAGCACGAATTGGACATCCTGGAGGAAGGAAGAATGGCGGAGTAAAACGCCACATGCAATCAAAGCCGCACACACTGTCCAGACCAACATGTTTGTCTCACAGCTGTCCTGCTGAAGACAGAGCAGAGGTATAAAAAGGCATGTGGAGCAGGAGGAGGAGCACTGAGAAATTCCAAAGGTTGAAAAGCATTTTGTATTGCTAGTGAACAACCAGATGAGCTGCATCAATGATTTACAGTATAACATACTGCTTTCACGTGTTTTAGGCCTTTCACTGGCTTTATACCGTGTGACCACTTTAGATTGTGCTAGTGGACCAAAATGAAGCCCAAACAGACAGTGAGAGGGTAGCACCTGATGACCTGAACATGAAGACAGGCTGGAGATTGTCGGATCTCAGCTAAGCTTTTGCTGGGCTGTGTTCGCTCACACAGAAGGGCAGGTGCAAGTTAACCTTTAACTTGCAGTTTTGCCAAGAGCCACTGGTGAGTCTGTTGGGGCACAAGGCAAAAATTCAGAGGAACCCTTTAACTAGCACCAAATACTCTGACTATCAACAATAACTGTCTAGAAGGAAAGTGAAACCCTTTTCTGTGTCCGCTGCATCAGCCAGCAACATCGGGGAATTAGGCAGTCAAGGCCCCGATGTTTCTGACCTCACTGTTTATAATGAGATTACTAAGAAGACTCCTCATACCGAGACGTTTGTGCATACAAAGAGGAGTATGCACAGAGAGCCTACTCCTGGCTCTGAATGTGAGAAGCTGCAGGAAATCTGGTTGAGGCCTCTGTTTTATGACTTGAGGCAGCGCCAACAGGACAGCAGCTTTGACAGTCCCTCCTAACAGCAAAACATTCTAAACGTTATGATCCCCAGTTTATGTTTTTCCCAGTGGTCCTAAGTTTCAACTGTATAAATTCCAATTAACATGTATCTGTTGTGGAAATATTAGTAATAGTAACAAGAAGTTGTGTGCCAGAAAAGCCAGACAGCTGTTAATTATTGAGCTTCAAAGATGTCAGAGAGGATTTCGTAACCTGCTGCTGGCTGGAGTTTACATATTTACAAAGTATGTATAGAGGAGGTTCCTGATTAACTCTAGTGAATATGTATGTTTCTTACTGCTTTATTGCCTTGTGTAAACAAACGCAGGCTAAATTCCATATCAGGAGTAACACTTCAAAAGCTAAATTCAGTGCAGTTTTGGACCTCTCAGTCAGTTTTGAGTAAATCTGCTTCTGTCTAAAAGCTTTTAAGTGGTCTATTACTTTAGCAGTATAGTTTATTACTGTGTATATGTGTGTGTATGTGTGTGTGTATGGTCAGATTTATAGTGTCACGGCTGCCGAGGCGAGCCGTGTGGTGTTGGGGGAAAGGAGGACCCAAAATGCAGGCAATGACTGATGATTCGAGTGACATTTATTTACAAGGTGGTGTAATGGCAAACAGGCAGTGAGGGATGACAAGTAACTAAAGAAACCTAAACTGGGAAAACTAAATAACAAACCTGAGAACACACGAAACGAAGTGCGGGGCAGAGAGGCACAGTGAGAGGAACGAAACACCGTGGAACACAGACGAACCGGCAGCAGGCAGGAGAACACACAGGGCTTAAATACACACAGCAGTAATCAGGGGATGAGAAACAGGAGGGCAACACACCTGGGAGAAGTCGGAGCTGGCGGGACAGGGGAAACGTAAACTGAACACACTCACATGAGACGGGGACCTTCAGAATAAAACAGGAAACTCAGACACAGAGAACCAGATAAGACACTGAACTAAACAGATTCCCAAACAGACAGTGTGACACCATAGACAGACAGAACACAGACGTGGGACCAGGGCAAGCACAGAACAGAAACCTAACAAATGGCAAATCAGAACAGAATACATACTCAGAATAGACAAAAGCATAAAGAGACACAAAACACTGAGTCGGCAGACTCAGGACCATGACATATAGATGTTCAAACAAATCTTTAAACATGCATCAAAAGATTTGTTACTCTTGAGATGACTCACCCTCGAGTCAAAATTCACAAGTTGCAAACAACTTTACACCTGTTTCAATATCTCTGCAGCAAAAAAAAGAAGAAGAAGAAAAATCAGATACAAAACAAAACAGTTTATATGTTGGGTTTATGTTATCCGCAATTTATTGGAAGCTTAACTTCTGTTCACAACTTGCTGCTGTTGCCCAGGGATTACAGACGATCTCTATGGATATAGATATGGATATGGAGGGTGTGTGTATGAAATCACAGCTTTAATAAAATTATTATGAAGGCAAAGATCATTTAAAACACCTTCTCATTAAAATGTGCAGCCAGAAGTGCAACGCTGGCATCTCAATAATTTGCATCCCGGCTCTTCCCTCCTGACCTGAAGACAAAAGTTAAACAATGACAAAACATGTGAAACCATGCCCAGAAAACTGCGCAACTCTGACACATTAGTTGGCTCTGTCATTTCTGTAATCATAATACAAAAGGGACATGAAATTTAAAATGCTAGGTCAAAAAACCCAGCCCATGACATCATGCTTTGTCCTGTAGTGTGTTTGTCATGTGAATCAAGTGGGCAAGTTCATCCCCCATTTAGCTGAAAAAGACAAAGCCCTGCGAGATCTTCTTTCCACAAAGAATGCATGGTACTGGGGGAACTGACCAAGCGAGAGCTTTCAAAACATTAAGAGATGCCCTGACCTCACCCCCAGTGCTCGCAATGTATGACCCCAACAGAGACATTAAAGTATCAGCAGATGCTTCATCCTATGGTCTCGCAGGTGTTCTTTTGCAGCTGTGGGAAGAAGGATGGCGACCAGTGGCGTATGCATCGAGGTCCCTTTCTCCTACTGAACCACGATAGGCACAAGTAGAAAAAGAGGCACTGGCGTCTAGTCTACATGGGCGTTTGAGCGATTTCGTGATTTCCTGATTGGTAAACATTTTTGTCTCGAAACGGACCACAAACCTCTCGTTTCCTTACTGGGAGGACAAGCTCTGGATCTCTTGCCACCCAGGATCTAGCGATTCAGAATGAGACTCATGCGTTACTCGTACAATGTGCAGTACGCCCCAGGGAAATCGCTCTGGACAGCAGATACGTTGTCCCGCTCGCCTCTGAAAAAAACAGTGAACATGTCAGACAAAGAGCTAATGGAAAGCACAGACATATAAGTGGACAGTATTGTAATAAACATGCCTGTCAGTTCCTCATATATGCAAACACTGAAGGAACAACTGAAAAGTGACAGTGTGTGTGCTTGCGTCATGGACATGTGCACCCAAGGCTGGCCAGAACATGCAAAACAAGAGCCTTTACTGAGAAATTACTGGCCTGACCGAGCCACGCTCACAAGACGGCCTTTTGCTAAAAGATACACGGCTTGTCATTCCTTCAGCGATGAGAAACAAGGTGCTGGAAAAACTACACGAAGGACATCAAGGTGTTGTAAAATGTAAAGCTTGTGCACGCCAAACAGTGTGGTGGCCCGGGCTGAGTCAACAAATCTCTGAGATGGTGCTCAGAAGCAGAACGTGCTGTACAGACTGTAAAAAATCTTCTGAAAAAAGCAGCTGATCCTTATCTAGCTCTTCTTGCCTATAGAGCTACACCACTCCAGGCCGGATACAGCTGACTGAGCTTTTAATGGGCAGACGTCTGCGAACCACACTGCCAACACTTGCATCGCAGCTGGAGCGTACACTGCCGGACGGCGCACTGCTTGCTCAAAAGGAAAGGGAGAAGAGGATGATGGACATGGCAATGTCTAACAGGCGCCACCGTGCAACACCTTTATGCAGCCTCTCCCCTGGAGAGCAAGTTTGGGTGACCGATGTCAAAACTCCAGGCACTGTTATCTAAAATCACTCTATACCACGATCATACACAGTGGAGTTACCACAAGGGACTGTGAGGCGTAATCACATGCATTTGATTCCTTTAAGTTCACCAGTGCACGAACCTGCTAATGTGCCTGTGTTGCAGAAACCACAAACACCCAGTGTAATCCCTGCTACACCTGTTAACGCTGATGTTGTCTGAACCAAGTCAGGGAGGGCAATAGTTAAAGCTAAAAAGTTAGATCTATAAGAGAAAAAAAAAGGTTGTTGTTATATAACTGTGTTACAATGGTTTTGTAGAGCAGAGTAAAACAAATCAAAAAGAGTTGTCAAAAAAAGAAGAAGAAAGAAATGAAAAAAGGAAATAAAAACAAAAGGTTAAAAATGTGATGCAGTTTGTTTGCCAGATGTTTTTGTTTGGCTTTGAAAAAGAAAAAAAGTAATCAAAAGGTAGTCCACTCGAAGGTTCTGTCCTGAGAAAAGAAATATTCTGTTTTTGTTTAAAAGGGGAGATGTGGTGTATTCATAATTGTCCCTGGTACATTTGTATGGGCAATATGTGTTTATTGTTCGATTGTGTAATTACGTGTTACGCACTGGCAATGCATGCCAGGAGGCGGTAATACAGTGAGTAAAGAGTTGGTCTTACGGCACTCAGTGGTCCTGCATACTTATTCAGATTCAGAGTAAGAATCACACAGAAACTAGCAAGCTAACTCCCTGCTAACTTCTGACTCCATTAAATTTCATAAATTTGGTTTTCGTGGATGCCTGGATGTTAAACTTAATTGTTACACCTGGTAGAGCAGCAATGCTGATCATTTTTTACAGATGAAAGGATTTAGACAGTTTTTAACTCCCAGTGATACTGCAGTGTTCGTTTGACTTTGGGACCTGAAGAGGAGTTTGGGCCCAAGCATGGCCAATGATGTCAGACTTAAACAGTGTTGGGAAGGTTACTTTTAAAATGTATTCCATTACAGAATACAGAATACATGCCCCAAAATGTATTCTGTAACGTATTCCGTTACGTTACTCAATGACAGTAACGTATTCTGAATACTTTGGAT